GCGGGGTGGGTTGAGTCTCTGCCCCTTCCCGCAGGCCCCTCCCGGCTCCCGCTCCTCCGCCCGGCCCGCGCTCGCATCCTGACCCGTACCCGCTCTTTGGGTCAAAGTTTCTCAGTTCATCTGGGCTCCCAACTTCACTTAAGGCTGTAAATAAAGTTAAATGCTCTTTATTTTCCTCTTGAATGTGTTAAACTACTTGAACAATTTAAAGTGCTTTGCACAAGTGAAGCGAACCATTTCTAATGTTCTGATTTTTCAGAGCCAGCCAACAACAAAGTTTAGATTAGTAATATATTTCTAACCAGAGTAATTTTCAAGATCATTAGGCATTTATGTAATTAGTGCCAAATCTATAAGCTTTTATTACGATTATTAGAGTAAAATCAGTATAAATTTGTACTAATTTACTACTGTTTAGACTTGGCTGTCAAGCCTAGAGGTTCTTATTGTAAATGATAACTGAGGAAATTAAGTGCAAAATTCTGTACCATTTCTGATCTGCTCCTAAACAATCCGTTTCAATTGTATTTGTAGCAGAACATAATGCCCTTTTAAAGTTATTTGACTTGTGTTTTTATTTGCAGCACAAGAAAAATGCCCTCTACCCAGGCACAATGAAAACTGATATTTACTACTCCCAACTTGATTAACATTGATTTTTAATTCGAGGGTGATGCAATTAAGATTATTCATTTAGTACAAATAAAGCTCCCACAAAAGGGTGGCCCCATGAAGTCTGTGTTAAATAATACTGAGCAAATGGCTTTTTTTTGTTCGCCGTCCAATGGACTTGCACAGAACATTGGAAAGACTCCTGAGAGCAGATGCGAGAGGGACTGTGTGTGCGAGTGTGTGTCCTCAGCTGCGTGTGTGACAGGGACCCGGCGCGGAGACAAAGGAGGCGGCAGAGCGAACTCTGGGCAGTTTTGTTTCCTCCTGCCCTCCCTGCCGGTCCGCCTCCGCCCGCGCACACGCGCGCGCGCACACACGCGCACACACGTGTGAGTGCGAATCGCGGACT